TTTTGAATAATGCATTGCAATTAAATTATTGCTTATTTTATGCCGTTGAAGAAAATTTAAGGCTGCGGCCGCACTAGAAAACTTAGTGCATGTTTTCTGTGTTAGGGCTATTATTTTGAACATGTGATTCGGATGAGCCGGATGTTTTTAATAGCGGGACTCTGGTGTAGATGTGTTTGTTATAACTAGTTTTAGTTTTAGGACAGTTAAAACAACTGTCATGTAACGTGATGAGAATGAGTTGTTGGTTGCAGATGCCTGGTGCGTAACCTAGTGGTGGGCCACCTGTGTGCGCCTCCCAGCAGCCGAGCCCAGGCGCTAGGTGTGATAGCTACTGTGTTGGACTTCAGCCCTGAGGACAGACAGAGGATTGGCCTGGAGCCGGCCTCCAAAGACATCAAGCTCAAGCAACAGGTGGGTCTAGAGTCTGCAGCCCCCTTTATATCACATTCACAAAGGCCTCTGTAATGTGTGCAGAACATATCAATCAAAGAAAGAGCCGGTACAGTACAATAGTGAATTATCCGATAAAACATTATTGGCAGTAACGAACCAACAAAATTTCCACCTAGGTCTTGTTATCGACTCAGTCACAGACTTACTTTCTTAATTTTTTACTACAAACTTTCATCATGTTTTGATATGAAAATTCACTTGGTGTCTATTTTCTTTCATTAAAAAAGTGCTTATTTCCTCACTAGTTGCACAAATAATGTGTTTTTGAAAATTTATAAGATCCTGTGAGGTTTAGAAATGAAGCTATAATACTCCGATACCTTGATAAACAAACGAAAATGGATTGTTAGTGAATTTCTTAGTAGTGGATTAACAACAAATAGGAACCTATTATTAAAGTAAACTCAAGTTAATCTGTTAAAAGCCAAGAAAAGGTCAGAATTAATTACTTTGAAAACTCCTTAAATATTTTAATTATAATATGATTGTGTAAGATGTAAGTAATTACTGTCCAAGATGTATATTATCCTATATGAAACGTTGGATTCAGATACAGTAGAACCTCTTTAATCCGAACTAATTGGGACCAGGGGTAGTTCGGACTATTGAATAGTTCGGATTACAGAACATATTGTTGTTTTTACATAACAATAGCTAAATTGGCTAAAATTGATCAACATTATTTTGGGAAAAGTGAAAAAAATGTTTTATAAAGTAAAATACAGTGTTTATTTAATACAGTAGTAAACATGGTGAATAAACAGTACTGTAAATTAAATACAGTATAAAATAAAGAACTACTGTACTGTGTGTAGAGTACAGCAATGAGGGGTTCGGATTAGTGGACGTTCGGATTAGGGGGGTTCGGATTAAAGAGGTTCTACTGTATTATAATGTTGTTCACAGAGCTTGTCTGAGGCCTTTGTCCGTTTCCTGGAGAGTGAGTCACGACCTCAGCACAACTGCGACTGCCTGTTCAGGGAGACTGAGGTGATCTTAAATTATAAACCACATCATTTTTCATACAAGCTGTGTGATAAATCTCACATTGGTATTCATTTAATCCATAGAAATCTGATTGTTATTACACCTCTGCTCTAAGTACATTAGAAAGTAACAAAAGTTGGGACCAGATGTAGTTCTAATCATCAATTAGTTAGGACATTGAACTATAGTTCGGCCGCTTAGAAAACGACTTGCGCGCTAATGCTAAACCAGCTGGAGGAGGTCGCTTTCTAAGCGGCCAAACTATAGTCTTAAAATGCTGTTAAGGCCTCTTGTCATGCATATGGTATTTGAAAGATTAAATGAAAATCAACAAATCAGTCATCTTTACATAACTTTATTAAATAAAATAATACCGGCTGCCAGCCAAATTCTTCAGCCAAATACATTGATGGGGAATTTGCCCCATGTTTCATAATACAAATTCACTTACAAGATACGAGCTGTAACTTGTATTTTCCATTAGATTTGCATTGGGTGATCAGCTGATTTACTAATTATATTAGTTTGTAGTTTAAGTTTATTATGAAACAGGTCTCAGAAAGCAAAATCCAAATCACCAAAGTTTACAAATGGGGGTTGAGATTTTTGTTCAAATATTCGGCTCCCCTCTGTTATTATTTTATTGTTTGAGAAGTGGTAGTAGGTAAACGAGATATAAAACGGGCACTTGCCTTTGTGAGCTTTGGTTTAAAAACTTTCCTCTATAGTTTGTTCAAATAAAAAAGGCGGTCAGGGAAGGGGCCTACTTGCAGCCAATGCAAACCTTATTCATTGGCTGCAAGTCGGCCCCATCCACGACCTAAGAAGATTTGGCTTGTCTTTAAGCCAATAATTTAGATATTGTTTCCCTCCCTTAAATTTTATGTGCCTTTAGAATTTTGTTTTTTGTATAAAGTAATAAGCCTTATGATTCAATTTCAAGTATGATATCTTATTTCAGGGTTCAAGGAGTCGTAAGACATCTTTCAATTCAGGTGAACTAGCGTTGCCGCCTGCTCGCCGAACCAGCGGTTCCGTCCTTAAGGATGTTCTCAAACAAGACCTTTAATTTATATTCAATAATTATTTTAGAGTATTTTGTATTATATTGTATAAATAAATACTTATTATTATATCTCATTGTATTATTATGGTTCAAGAAAATGTTGTTTTAATTTGGCGTTTTAATTAACCTGACTCTGTTAATCCATTACAGAATTAAAATAATTTTATATTCCTTTTTGGCAATCAATGAGGTGCATCTTTTTTTGTTTAAACTTATTATTAGGAGAGTGGTGGACTAATTAGTAAAACTTATATTAGATTATTATTTTGTTATTTTGTTGTTGCAACTCTGTATTTAATTAAAGTCACCTGAACTTTTTTTATGAAAATATAATGATTCTGTATTGAAACAAACATAGGAACTCACGATCCTTTCTTACAGTTAACCTTAAGGAAAAAAATTACAGTGGACTCCCAATTATCGACGATAATTAGTTGCTTAGTGATCGATGATAATGCCTAACCTAAAATGCCCGAAAAAGAACTAAAATTGATTTTGAATGTTTGGTTAAGTTTTCATACAGGTTATTAACGTTATTAAGGTTATTAAGGTATTACACAGGGGAAGTAATTATAAAACATAACAAAACCATTTGGATGCATTGTGTGTACAAAAAGTATACTGCTAATAGTAAACCATTTTCTTTATAGGGAACTGGTGGACACCTTATTTGAAAATCAAGTGTATAGAGTTTTCTTATATAGGTTTATTTTTGTAAAGTTATTATTATAAAGTTTG